TGGCTATACTAGCCATATCACTAATGGATTTCCTACTAAGGGAATCGGCCACAACATTGGCCTTTCCCGGATGATAGTGCAACTCAAAATCATAATCCTCGATGAACTCCATCCATCTCCTCTGCCTCAGATTCAAGTCTCTCTGTGTAAACAGATACTTCAAACTCTTGTGGTCCGAGAACACCTCGAACTTCTCACCATAAAGGTAGTGCCTCCAGATTTTCAAGGCAAAGATCACAGCCGCTAACTCTAGGTCGTGTGTAGGGTAATTCTTCTTGTGTATTTTCAACTGTCGTGAGCCATAAGCTACCACTTTCCCTTCTTGCATCAACACACAACCCAAACCCTCTCGTGAGGCATCACAATAAACCGTATAACCCAACCCTCTCTCCGGAATAATCAACACCGGAGCGGTGGTCAATCTAACTTTCAGCTCTTGGAACGACTTTTCACAAGTTTCACTCCACACAAACTTGACTCCCTTCCGAGTCAGTCTAGTCAACGGTGACGCTAACCTGGAGAAATCTTTCACAAACCGACGGTAATACCCAGCCAATCCCAGAAAACTGCGGATCTCGAACACACTCTTAGGCTGTGCCCAATCCTGCACCACCTCTACCTTGGATGCATCAACAGACACCCCTTCCCCGGATACTACGTGGCCTAAGAATTTGACTTCCCTCAGCCAGAACTCACACTTCCCAAACTTGGCATACAGCCTATGGGCTCTAAGCAACTCAAGCACCACTCTCAAGTGTTCCTCGTGCTCCTCCTCAAAAGTCGAATAGATAAGAATGTCGTCCACGAAATCGACTACAAATCGATCTAAGAACTCCCAGAAAATCCGGTTCATCAAGTCCATAAAGACAGCCGGTGCATTGGTAAGCCCAAATGGCATCACCAGAAACTCATAATGGCCATACCGCGTACGGAATGCCGTCTTCGGAATATCCTCTTCCCTGACCCTTAACTGGTGGTAACCTGATCTTAAGTCTATCTTAGAGAAACAACGGGAACCCTTCAACTGATCGAATAGATCATCTATACGAGGCATAAGGTACTTATTCTTAATCGTAGCCCGATTCAACTTCCGATAATCTATACAGAGTCTCAAAGCACCACCTTTCTTTTTAACAAAGAGGGCCGGTGCTCCCCACGGTGAAACACTAGGACGTATATAGCCCTTATCTAGTAACTCCTGAAGCTGAATCTTCAACTCAACTAACTCGGCTGGGGCAAAACGATAAGGTGCCATAGAAATCGGCGCCGTGCCGGGCACTAGATCAATAGAGAACTCAATCTCTCGATGCGGTGGCAAACTAACAAGATCCTCGGGAAAGACGTCCGAGTACTCACAAACCACCCTTGGCAACACTAGCTGGGTCCCATCACACTCACCACTCTCAAAGCTGGCAAGTAGACCACTAAGCTCACCCTGCCCTCGTGGATCATAACCCGATGACAAAACACTACCAATCCGGTCCCCCAGAAAATGAAAACACTCCCCGCTCAAGGTACATAGTGTGACCCTCTGGTGGTAGCAATCGATAACTGCCCGGTATGACGATAATCAGTCCATACCCAAAATAACATCAAAGCCCTTCATGGGCATAACTACAAAAGGAAACGGAAGTCTATGATCGGCGACCTCTATATCACAACCTCTAACACCTTGTTTCAAGATCAATTCACCCCCAAGAGGTGACACTACACAAATAGGAGATGCTAAATTAAAGATAGTCTTTAAAATCCAAAAGCCACATACATCAAAGCCCTTCATGGGTATAACTACAAAAGGAAACGGAAGTCTATGATCGGCGACCTCTATATCACAACCTCTAAAACCTTGTTTCAAGATCAATTCACCCCCAAGAGGTGACACTACACAAATAAGAGATGCTAACTGTGCTAACTCCAACTCCAAAATAGATGCAAATGCAGCAGACACAAAGGAATGAGATGCACCCGTATCAATCAAAACACTAGCAACCGAATTGCAAAACAAGAAGGTACCTCTCACAACCGATGGAGCTGGTACAAGATCCTGCGCGGTAACAGCATACACGCGCCCTGTAGGCCCCTGATCTACCTGCTCACCTCTAGGAGCATACGACTGCTGCACTGACTGGGACGACGAAGCCCCCGGATTGGCCTTCAAGGCCTGAACCGACTGCTGATGACTCTGAGTCTGCCTCAAACCAGATGCACCAGATGTGCCACTCAACTGCGGGCAATACCTCTTCATGTGCCCTGGCTGACTACACTGATAACACGAGAGTGGCTGGCCTCTACCCTGACTCTGGCTCTGGGATCGAGCCGAAGAAGATGCTGCTCTCTGTACTCCTTCCCTCTGCGGGCAAACCGGAGACTTGTGGCCCAGCAGACCACACTTGAAACAGGTGATGTCTCCCTGACTGCCTTTCCCCGAACCTGCACTCGGCACTGGAAGAGTTGATCTAGAAAAGCTACTCTGAGACTGTTGAGGAGTGAAACCTCTCTGTCTCCGGCCATCACTCTGGCCATCCTGACTCCTCCTGGAGCCTTTCTGCCCTTCCTCATCTTCCTGCATCATGATCTCCATATGGGCTGCAGCATCAACCATACGCCCATAATCCCGAATCATAGTTCCTCCAACTCTCAGCTTGAGGCCACGCCTCAACTTCTTCTCAAACTCAATACAACGGCGTTCCTCAGACGCCACCAACTCAGGTGCAAACCTGGATAAACTAGTAAATGCAGCCTCAAACTCGGCCACTGAAGAACTCGACTGCTTAAGTTGACAGAACTGGTCTCTCAGCTTTTCCCTGACAGCTGGAGATAAAAACCTCTCCTGGAAAGCATTTACAAAAGCCTCCCACGTACCTCCTATACGACCCTTTATGAACTTCCACCACTGACCCGCATCCCCCTTTCAGCTGGAACGATGCCAAGGTCACTTTCAACCCCTCGTCTTCGATGCCAAGCATCTCAAACGTCTTCGTTGTCTGTTCGAGCCATTCATCTGCCTTAAGTGGCTCTTTGGGATCACCCACAAATTCGTCCGGGTTAGACCGGAAGAACTCCCTCTTCAGAAAAGAAGGTCCTGCATCCGCAACAACAACCTGGGCTTGATTCTCAGCCCTAAGAATGCCAACTGACTCCCTGAATGCCCCCGCTATCTCTCGGGCCAAAGCGCCCATAGCCTGTTGGCCTACTGGTTCAGCCACATTGGCCTGGCCAACACCCTCCTGCTGCTCCGGAACCTCCTCCGGTATAGGCACCTCCTGCCTACCACGCCTACCACGTCCTCGTCCTCGTCCTGACATCCTAAGAAAAAAATAAAAATAAATAAATAACAAAGACGTTAGCACATTAATAAATGTGCCGAAGCTATAACACTCGCGTCCTAATGCTGGACAACAATAATTCATTCCACGTAAGCACATAATCACATAAGCACCTACGAATTTCATTCCTGGATAATGACAGTCCCGAGGCGTTACTACAGTTCCGGTTGGAAGCAGCATTGATCAAGTGCCTTTCCAACAAGACTATCAGAAACTCAAGGGTCCAACCAATATCCTAGAAACTACATTTCATTTAGGATTAATTCAAGTCGGTGTTAAACCATTAACTCAACAAGGTAAAAATGCTTCTGTCTTGTTATGTTTAAGAGATACTCGTTTTATTGATTATAATGATAGTTTAATGGGAATGATGGAAACTGGTTTGCATAAAGGTTGTAACGCCCTCAAAATAAACCCATAATATATAACATTGACATGCATTAATAAAAGAAAACCAACCATTATACTATTCATCAGAGTATTCTTATTGAAAAGCATTACATGTAACATCAAAAGTAAATGCCCTACGGGCTTACATCTTCCCAAGCCAACACTTGGACACAAAATGTGAGTACTAACTCAACTACGAATTAAGCCTTTGGCTTGATTGTTTACATGTAATATCAAATAAAATAAATAACAACTAAACTAAACAGAGTCTTCAACTCCAACTCCTTCCCAGCTAAGTCCTTGGAGGTAGCATATCACCTGAACCTAAAATTGATGTTCCCGTATAGGGTGAGCCACAGCCCAGTAGAAACATACTAAACCAAATATAAGCATTGAATAAAGCAATAGTATTCAATAGATGGTTAACACAACTATTCACTTTCCCAACATACAGTTTCATGACATTAATGTCGATGACACGTTTCCTTTTCCATTATTTGTTCAACTTTCCATTTATATCAATATGGCTCAGAACCTGGCCAAACTATAACAGTGAACTAAATATCACATTAACATTTCTTCCAATATCAACAAAACAAATGAGACTAAGGCTCATACCAAAACACTTCCATACTTCCTGATTGATACACATTTTAGTGCTGTATCAACAACATGCAAAAACACTTCCATAAATCAATAAGCACACATATAGTGGTGCTAATGGAGTCCATCCCCTATCTCCTCCCAAACAAAATCCGGTTTAGAGGTCCATCCCCTATCTTCCCCTAAACCGTGGAGTACATCCCCTATCTCCTCCCAAACAAAATGCAAATATAATGTATTAAACACTTGGCATATACAACACACAATCAATACACGTATTTTCTGCATTAATTCAACAGTCAAAATCAACGACTTAACCAATGTGATTAGTTTCAGTTTTTTTTCTAATCCACATGCAATGTTTACAACAATCACGACTATCCTCCACTGATAGCCCAAAACAGTTATTTCTAAACAGGAACTAAATGAATCAACACCAAAATAATGACCATTAACTAAGAAAATGGTTACACCAAAATAATGACCATTAACTAAGAAAATGGTTACACCAAAATAATGACCATTAACCAAGTTCACGAATTCTATTTAACCTTCATTTATGACCAAGAGGTTACAAAAGTAATGAAACCCCATAAATAAATATAAGATATTAAGGATTGGTCGCTATAAACACCCTTATGCCTTGCGCTGTGTTTGAATCATAAATTTAGGTAAGAATTTAAAAAAGGAAACGGAAAAAATATCACATTTCACCCACTTTTTTCTTTTCTCTTTTCAAATTTACTATACCCAAATCTATTATCCAAACACAGTATTAATCAATATCCTTAGGAATAACTGCATTACAGTATTGAAGTTGCTACCATTACGATGCTAATATGCCGTTACACGCACTACATGAAATTATGCAATTTTATCATCTGCAACCCAACCCCCTTTATATGATTTGAAATGTGGGTTCTTTAGTGTTTAGGTGTGTCTTTGCAGGATGGAAAGTAAAAGCAATTACAATCACCATTAGCATATCAACACTCGTTGTGATGGTATTGCTTGGCTCTTGTATCCACCACAAAAGGAAAAGAGCAGGGAAAGGTAATTACAGTCACTACGAGAAAAGGAGGCAAAAAACACAGAAGCTTTTGCGACGGGAAAGGTAATTACAGTCACTACGAGAAAAGGAGGCAAAAAACACAGAAGCTTTTGCGACGGCTCGTTTCCCGTCGCAAAAAAGGACCTTTTGCGATGGCAGATTAACCCGTCGCTAAAAAAGGTCTTTCGCGACGGCAGTTTTACCATCTGCAATAAACTATACGGGGAGTGTCATAATACGAGAGTATTAGCGACGGCGTTTTCCACTGTCGCAAAAAAAGAAATTTTTTGAGACGGCAGAATGTTGCTGTCGCAATTAGTTAGTCATTTGCGACGACAAATGTCCATCGTAAAAAAAAATTATCAAAACGACGCCGGTTTTAGCAATACGTATTTACCATTTGCGATGGTTTAAAATTTACCGTCGCAAAAAAAGTAATAACAAAACTTTTGCCCCGCTCTCCCCAAATTTTTGGCGCTCGTTCATTTCGATAGAAATCCGTAATTCTTTGAAATCCCTAAATCTATTTGGATCGATTTCCCCAAACTTTTGCCCCGCTCTCCCCAAACTTTGAATCATTTGGATCGAAATCCCTAAATCTTCGACTTCGCCTATCAGCCACCGCCAGCCATCTTCGACCCAGCTTTCAGAGCTTCTTCTCCGGCGAAGTTCTTCGGCTTCGGCGACCCCTCGACCCAGCCATCTTCGACCCAGCCATCTTCATTCAAACTTCACTTCGTTCAGGTATCTGTTCTTCGGCTTCGGTTGAACTCATTTTCTTTTATTACCTGTGTTTTATATCATGATCCCTTATTGATATGAAGAGAAGATGAAGCTCACTGTATATTAACCCTCCATAATTTTTTTTTCTTTTTTCAAAGTTTCGTTGTTATTTATTTTATTTATTTATTTTTAATTCTTCTTTCTAATACTTTTACTATTCTTTTGTTTTTGTATTTTTGTATTTTTTTTTAACTTCAACCTACAGTATGTTCTAAGGGTTGGGTTGTTTCGCCCATTAAAGTGGTGCGTGAGTTGGGTTCATAACATCATAAGATAGTTTAGTCTTAAGTTTTATTACTCTTTACAGACAATATAAAATCACAAGAAATCTTTACCAATGGTGTGAATTTATGAAAATCAAAGTATATATGTATATATTCTTTAAATTTACACCTATATATTTTTGTATGCCATTACACTGAACTTTAAATGAGTAACAGAGACCAATCGGTTGAATGCATTAGACTACATAGATGGGTTTGACTTTTGTTGGTTTCAATATTAGTGATTGAGTTTTTATGCCTATATTATTTTTTATTTAAATATTTAAAAATTAAAGTAGGTATATATATATTTTTCGTATAACATAATGCAATTCTAAATGAGTTGTACGGACGAACTAACTGGATATACATTTAATTGTAACAAGGACATGTTAATAGAGTACATGTGAGAAGTTCTAAATCTGTCGCAAATAGTTAGTAATGATCTTTGAATGTTGTTTATCTGACTTGTATGTTTGGAAATGGTGAATGTTTGTATGTTGGGATATGGAGGCCACGTTGAGGCCATAAGGGCATTGATGTTTATTTTGATAGGATACATTTTAACTAATTTTTTTTAATTTTATTTGAGAATTTCCGGTGGGACCCTCTTGTATAATCGTTTACGAATACTTCAAGCTTTTCAAAAGATGATCTATACTAGTACTCTTCTTTAGCTTGTAGCATAACTCAAAGCTTTGATGTCATTCCCTTGTAAGGTGAATTGGGTGAAAAATATGTCACTAGCACTATTTATTATTTTTTTTCAATGTGATGCCTCATGTCTCGTAATGATGTTGTAATATTTCCATCTAAAATTGAAATTTACATGTAACTCATTTCTGGTGCATTTGCGCAGACATTCTGTTGGAAGACCAGCCCCAGCTAGATCTCAATGCATTTGCACAGACATTCTGTTAGAAGACCAGCCCTAGCTAGATCCCTTGATTTGAGATCATCAGCTTTTGATCATCAGATTATTGCCCATTGGTTTTTAGGTTAGCTACAAGATACATATACTTCCATCGTACTTTTTTAAGTTCATTTGCATGTGTCCATGCTTCTCTGTTGGTATTGAAGACATTAAAACTCAAGAAGATGCAATCTTCTTGAGTTGAGCTACAAGATTTTCTTTGTTGGTCTTGAAGACATTAAAGGCCATCTGTAATATCTGTGTATTATTTAAGTTCATTTTAAAATTGATTAACATACTTAATTGACTAAGCATAAAAGAAAGTATTATGTAATAGGTAGTTTCAGAACCTAATAAAAAAAAAATGAGTTAATACTTTTTTCCTTAATTGATATTCATATTCCGTCTCAAATCAATTCATTTTAGATCCTTAAAATTTAATGAATAGCTACATTCATTGCTATGGAATGGAAGTGTACTACTTGTTTTGAGAGATGAGGGTGTAATACGTAGGTATTATATTTAGAGTTACTTTGATGAGATATTTTTGTGGATGTGTACAGATGATGGATAAGAGTTGGATTGATTTGCCAAATAGGATGTCGAGCGAATACATTAATGGGATTGATGAATTCCTTGTGTTTGCCTACACCAATAGGGTTGAAGGTTCGATGATCAGTTGTCCGTGTAGGAAGGGTGAGAATCGATACTATTTTGTACGAGAGGGTGTACGGGAGCATCTGATTTTGAATGGTTTTTTTAAAAAATACAAACATTGGATTAATCATGGGGAATCTTATGTATCTCTGCATGGTAATCGAGAGAATGAAACATTAGCTAATTTAGACATTGGGGATGATATGATTGGAATGATACAAGGGGCTATGGAAAATCCACATGTCGATACAAGTGTTGAGGGTGATGAACCATAGGGGCCTGATCCACATGCATCTGAACCCCAGCTCGATCCAAATGCAGAGACTGCAAAGTATTTCAAACTTGTTCAAGATACACAAAGTGAATTGTATCTGGGTTGTCAGAAGTTCACATCTTTGTCATTCATTGTTCGACTTCTACATTTGAAGGTGCTTAATCAGTGGACAGACAAGTCTGTTGACATGTTGCTTGAGTTATTGAATGAGGCGTTCCCGTTGGGTGTGAAACTCCCAGACTCATATTATAAAGCTCAAAAGGTCACAACAGATTTGGGTTTCACGTATGAGACGTGGGATGCATGTCCCAACAGTTGCATGTTGTTTCGAAACGAGGACGCCAATCTTGATAAATGTGTCATATGCAACAGTTCTAGATAGAAATCAAATGGTGATGGTGGTTTAAATGGTCCTAACAAAGGTGGCAAACAAATAGCTGCAAAACAGATGAGGTATTTTCCTTTAAAGCCAAGGTTGCAGAGATTGTTTATCTCATCCAAGACGGCCAAGTTCATGAGATGGCATGCAGAGGAACGAACTGATGATGGTGTCTTCAGGCATCCTGCTGACTCCCTTGCATGGAAAAATTTTGACCGTCAGAATATTGACTTTAGTAATGATTGCCGAAGTGTAAGGCTTGGCTTAGCATCTGATGGTTTTAACCCATTCAGGACGATGAACATAGTTCATAGCACTTGGCCTGTTGTGCTCATTCCATACAACTTGCTACCATGGATGTGCATGAAGCAACCATTTCTAATTTTATCCGTGCTTATTGACGGCCCGAAAGGACCTGGTGACAAGATTGATGTGTATATGCAACCGTTGATTGAGGAGTTGAAAGAACTATGGAATGAGGGTGTGTCAACATTTGATGCATTAACAAATCAAATGTTTCAAATGCATACAGCTTTACTGTGGACAATTAGTAATTTTCCTGCATATACAAACTTGTCAGGATGGAGCACTAAAGGCGAATATGCATGTCCTTGTTATAAGAAGGAAACTGCATCGTGTTGGTTGAAGCATAGTAGGAAACAATCATACTTGGGTAATCGCAGATTTTTACCTACTGGCCATAAATTTCGGAAGGGTAAAGTATCATTTGATGGTAGTCGGGAAGTCAGACTCAAACCAAAATTGTTGTCTGGAACTGAGATGTTGCTACAATTAGAATCTGAGGGTATTTTAACCCAATACAGGAGGGATGACCTTAAGGAGAGGCATAGCAGACAGGTAGAGAAGGAGAAAGTTGGACATCGCACCTATAGCTAGAAGAAAAAGAGTATCTTTTATGAATTGCCATATTGGGAGCACAATCTAATAAGACACAACCTCGATGTGATGCATATAGAGAAGAATGTTTGTGACAATGTGTTGTGGACAATATTAGGGGTTGCAGGAAAATCGAAGGATGGTGTTAATGTTCGGCGTGATTTACAAGATATGAATAGTAGAAAACCCCTACATTTGCAGTTAAGAGGGTCGAATAAAGCCTATTTACCACTAGCACAATTCACGATGACCAAGGATGAAAAAGATTTGTTCTTGAAATTGTTGAAGGAAGTAAGAGTTCTCGACGGGTATTCATCCAATATATCACGTCGTGTGCGCTCACATGATAGAAGTATTGGGAGTCTTAAGAGCCACGATAGTCATATTCTGATGCAACAACTTATTCCATTGGCTATTCGAAGATCGTTATCGAAGAATGTAATTGAACCCTTGATTGAATTGAGCAATTTCTTTAGACAATTGTGTTCGCAAGTGAATCGTGCGGATTTGCAATATATTCAAGATCGTATCGCTGTAACACTTTGTCATCTAGAGAAAATATTTCCTCCGAGTTTTTTTGATATAATGGAGCACTTGCCTATACATCTAGCTGATGAAGCTTTATTGGGTGGAGCGATTCAGTTTCGATGGATGTATCCAATTGAGAGGTATCTTCTTACTTTGAAGCAATACGTGCGTAATAGAGCTCATCCTAAAGGATCAATTGCTAAAGGATATCTTATGGAAGAATGCATGAATTTTTGTGCACAATATCTCAATGATGTGGAAACCAAATCTAGTCGACCCGTGAGGAACTATAGTGGTGCTGATAATTT